TGAAGTTTTGCAATATTAATGATTGTAGCCATCTGTTAATCTGGCAGCCAGCAACGAGCTGGTTTTTACTTTGCTCAGTCTAGTTATTAAAACTGAGTATTTTTGCTTGGCAGCAGCTGGAGGAGCACGACTCCTTTATGTCCCAGGGTAGCTGTGCAATGACTTGCATCCCGTTCCTTATTGCTGTCCCTGTGGTATTTAGGTGCAGCATGGGAGCGGGTCCACGAGCAGGGGGACAGGAGCTCCCCGGGCAAGAGCTGGCCCACGGGCAGGGAAATGGATGCTGTGTGCGACAAACACAGCCTGGTGCTACGCTGTGCACGCCCCAGGGATGGTGTCTAGGGGTGAGGGACTGCACCAACAACCAGCCAACAGCCCCCACCACCTCGCAAAGCCATCCCTGGGAAGTATGGGGTCTGCCCTCAGTGCCAGCTGCTAATTATGGCTCTCTTTGGGATGGTATTTTAGATAACTCAGTTCTCTGGTGCACACTCCAAAGGGATAAACTCATTTAGCAGGTTAATTAGTGTCCTTGGTAGGAACAGTATCAGCACTCTCCCGCCCACTTGGCAGATGAGGGTGGAAAGCATAACACAGGCAGAGGCAGCGTGTTTGGGGATGGCCCTGTGCATTGCCCCCAGCTCCACTGGCACTGTGGCTACACGCTCAGCCCCTAGACACTTTTATTGCACAAATCCACCCAAGCTGCCCCCTTCGCTGTCTCTGTTTGGATCAGGAAAGACCTCAGGCTCACGGTCCAAGCTTACCCTGTTGGGATGTGCATCACCCTTCGCCCCTTAGAGCAGAGCTGGAAGAACCATGCAGGTTTACTGGTAGCACTAGAGCCGGGGGGCGGAATTTATTTGTTCTTAAATATTATACTGAGAACTCCCAGCTCTGGCTTGTAAACAATTTGTTTATTAGCAATGTAGTTCAGAAACCTTATCCATAATCAATGGCACTGCACACACTCAGAAGGGGTCCACAACCACACAGCTCCTGGGTGCACAGGTACATTACGCTCCTGGGGTAGGTGATGGCATTCCCATCCCACAGTTTAGAACAGAGGACAATTTCACTCTTTTCAGATAAATTTTTATTTTCAATATGGACACTTATTTGCAAATGTTCTATTTATTGTTTGGCAATATCAGCTGTACACACACACTTGCTAAAACAGCAGAGTGCTGTTTGCTAAAATAGAGTATTTGGATGAGAGAGCTCTAGGTGCCCATTTTCCTCTCCAAACTATGCATTTCAATTTTTAATGAGCTCTGTTCCTCTCAATTATACCTGAAGCAAAGCAGATGACATCAGCCTTCAATTTACCATGGGGGTTATACCCGTCAGAGTCTCAGGGTAGGGGGAAGATGTTTTGCACTGTAGTTGATTGCAATGACTATACCTGCCTATCCAAACCCTTCCCCAAGTCAAGTGCAGATCTTCAGAGAAAAATCTTTTTCTCACATATAAAAGATTATATCATTATCTATAGTATAATCCTTACTATAGGGGCTGATATAATTTATTATTTTAGCCTTTCTTTGTGATGCTAAATGCAGGCTCAAACAAAACACCTGCCCTCACTTGCTCCCTCTCACAGCACCAAACAGGGCAGTTTGCCCAGTTCAAGTTCAGTCTGATATTACGGCTGTTGTCTTTTTACACCCCAGGGAAATGACAAAGCACGATTCAACACCCTAGCGTTAGCGTGCCCACAGACTAACAAAGGCTGGAGAGCTCAGAGCATGAGCCTTCAGGGCAGCCAGGTGCCCAATCTCTCTGCAGGGCTGGGACAGCACCCACAGCACGTTACCGGCCAGACTGCAGGTCGAGAAAGGAAAGCTCTGACATCAAGGCAAAGCAGAGAACACAGATCCAGCACCTACCAAGAAGGTTAATGTTTGCAGCCTCCTTCCTCCTCTATTTTTTCCCCCCTCAGCCATAACAGGAACAGGGACCTTCTACTGTTCAGGCAGATGAGGCGAGAAAGATCATATTATTAGGAACATGCAAGAAACCCCTCTCTTGGAATCTGGGATGAAACGCCACAGCACATCTCTAGGAGCACAGACCAGAACGAGACACCACGTGGCCAGCCCTGCTGCCAGCCAGCAGAACCAGATTCCCAGTATCGGGGGACTTCACTGACCTCTGCTTCTCCTGGCTGAACTTGGACAGCATGAGATAAAGGTAGAGCAACCATTAAGAAAACCCCCCTCCACAAAAACCCCAAAAGAGAACTGACAACATAACAGAATTTCTAAAGAGTTTTACTTAACATTGTGTTGATTTAGATACATGTTCATTTTTGGAGAAAATTCAAATAATAGCGTAGCTTATTTAGGGTAACAAAAGCTGCAAAAGTCACTGGAAGCCTTAGATGTGCAAAATACAGTTCATCACATATTAAAGATTTTTTTCCCCCCCTGACTGGCAAACCAATGCAGACAGGTATCATAGTGGGGCGAAAGAAGAATATAAACCAGGCTAGAAATACGTCTCTATTTCTACCTCCACAGTTCAAGAGTTAACACTTAAACTTACCACTATAATAAGGATTTGAAAAACCCAGAGAGCCATCAGCACCAGTCTAGCAGTCACCTATTGTAGAAAATAAAAACAAAGCCCCACAATTGGAAAACGCTGGAAATTATTTTATTTATTTACAAACAAAACAAGCTATTTACTGCATTGGGCCTTCCTGAATTTGGTTGCCTGAAGCACGTGAGAAAGCTTCAGTTAATGTCCTTCAGCATGGAGTGGTTTATTTGTTATAATTATACACTAAACAAAAGAGGTGTGCAAACAGCATTTTAATGCATACCGTCATACACCTGTGGAGAGGCAGTTTTCCTTTTTTAAACTTTTGCTTTCTCAGCAGTCATTCTGCTGCAGACATCTCACCCACAGCACATCTGTGCGACACAACAGAAGTAAAGACTTGTGGTGCTTTCTACTTCGTCTGTGTTTCCCCTCATTCCCCCTTGATCAGCAGCGCTCTGTAGACTGACTTTTTTTTTTTTTTTTTTTTTTACAAACTTAAACCTGCTACCTCTTTAAACAACTGTGTAATATGTGGACCTGCAAGAAAGGAAAATTTCAAAACACATCTGCTGAAATACAGCCACTGTTCACCAACTTAATCTAGGATTTCATTTTTGGATTTTGTCTGAAGTCAGTTTTTAGCTGAATGTTTATGAGGTGACAACCAAAGCAGAATACAAGGGACTCCAGGAAAAGAGTTCTCAGATTAAGACAAATTGGAAAATGTTCTTGAAGATTTTACTAAATTAAAGTTTTTCAAAAATGTTTATGAACTTCGAGACTTCATGATGAGCTGTGGTGCCAAGGGGCAGGTGCCTTAATCCCTGGGCAGAATAAAAAAAATTGGTTAATATATGTCAATGGCACTTATTATAAAAATGACATTAATATAAAAATTACTGAAGTATATTTGATGCATGATATACCAGTTATATATTTATATATTTTGGTAAGTGATGTATTTGTCATTGATAGGCTTTGTTGTCAAATTCTAAAATAGAGAGATACTTACGACATTGTGAAAAAAGTTACAAAGATGCTTTGCCCACGGACACCTGAAAAACAGATATAGATTCTTAATCCATTTTCTCACAGGGACAGACCCACCCCCAGTCTCAGCCACTCTGCCTTTTGCACTACTCAAAGCTTTATAAAAAGGCTAATCCAAAATTCATTTCAATTTCCAAATGGAGATGATTTCAGCATCAGATGTACAGTAAAATCATTAAAACAAAGGATAGAGCATAAGAAACATGATTTCATCAGATTCTCTTGGATCAAAAAAATCAAAAGATGACAGTTAATGGAATCTCAAATTTGTTAAATACAGCTTAGCTCATACACAACTGAGTGAAGTTAGGTATTTTATTTTCTCAGCTACACAGAGCAAAGGCTGGAGAGAAGAAACAGTCAGAAGCATTTCACAAAGGAGGTCAGCTTACATGCCCATGATTTCCACTTAAGACAGTTACTAAGAGGTGAATTCTTAACATTGCTCTGCTGCCACCAGCTACGTGTGAATTAAAAGTGCCAGAGCAAGCAATCACTCTGCCTTCTGGTATACAACCACAGAGTCAATTCATTTTAAAACTATTACGTCAATACATTAGAGACTATCACTCTAAAGGCTGTAATGCTTTACTGCGTAACACAGGAGAGCTAGGATTACACTTGTAAACATACAGGGGTTTCAAAAGTAACACAGCAATGTTTTATTGTCATTTGTAATCTGAATAAAGAACTTGGACTTTTTCAGAACTCTATTTTCCCCACCCGCTGAAGCTTTGTGCTGCTGCAGAGCAAATGGTCTCTCCTCTTCTTTTAAAAGAGAATAGGAATGACAGGCACAAACCTAATGCTGTCCTCAGTTTGCCTGACAGTCCACAGATGTTCCTAAAATCCTTAGTTTTTGGCAGGGATCCACTCCCTCATCACTATGTGAAGTATTTCTTAAAGTTTAAAAGAAATGTTGGCACCTGTACACCCACTGTATTCTTGTGGATACACAATAATTTACATTTTGAGCTACTTTCATCTATTTTCTCTAAAGTTTTACACAGTATTATGCCTCCTTAGAGTCCAATAACTAATTTGCGGTAAGTCCTGATTAAGGTTTTTTGGTGGTTGTGATGACAGTGATATTTAAGTAATAGAACTAGACTGTACTATATGTAATCTTGATGACAGGTCAGGGTTGCCAAGAGCAGGTAACATGTTTTTCATAACAACGGGCACTGGGAAGCAAGAAGGCCATTTGGTTGCAAAAGGTAACATACAACAACTTCAAATCTACCCAAAACACCACGTTCGGTATCTTTACCACTGCTAATAACAGGGAAGAATAAAAACCAAGAATGAATTGTGAGTTAAGACTGTTAATTGGGAGAAAGCTACCATCAGTGTTAAAACACATAATGATGTTCTATTTGGCTATGATGAAGAGTCACACTTACATATGCAGGTTCTCTGTAATAATATTCAGAGTGAACAGGCCAATGGATTGCATCTTCTTATGTCTGCATGTCAGGAACAGGCAAAGGAATTCACCCACGTACTGGGGACCAAGGTTTTGCCACCTAAGCAATATAAAACCAGGAAACACAACACAGCTGTTCAACAGAGAACTTTCCTATTGATTCCTAGCATCTTATTTGCATTCTTGACTTACCCAAAGCACTGGGCTGGCTGGTTTCAAAGAGCTACGGATTATCTCTCTGCTAAACATTACTGCTGCAGGACTGCTCTTACTGCTTCCATAAGCAAACAGACAGACTTCAGGGAGCAAGCGGTTACTCACAATTTTAGCATTGTTGCTTTCTGACGATTTAGATCTCTCAAAATCAGGTTGACGGTGCCGTGGAGAACATGTTCTTCATAGGAAAGATGGTCCAATAACAGTCTCAGAGCCCAGAAGTTATTCTGGGAAGAAACAAAATAAGACCAGTGATTTAATCTAATTGCAAATCATTTCTTAAAGAACAGAATAAATTAAAAGTCAAAGCTAAAGGGGAACAAAGCCAAGTTAGATGTGTCTAAAATCACCAAGTTGGTATTACAAAGATTTTAAATATAATTTGCTTTAATCTCTTAGAACAGAAATCAGTATCTAGGACTCACCCCAAAAGCCAGCGCTATCTCTAAGAAGGAAGTCAAGTATGGAAGATCACAAAAAAGCATCTGCTGTATTGCTTGCACTGCGAGAATAAGACAAGCCTCATGGTGCAACTATGGGAAGAAATATCAACAAGACGACATATATTTAAAAGTCCACTTTCTCACTACTTGAATATTGCATCCAGTCAAATCAGCACTAAGTTACTACCATTCCAGGCATGACATCCACAAGAATCTTATGAAGACCAAAAGAGTGGGAATAGAACAGATACTTCTATTTATATAGCATGTTTCACCTGGTGCTCTCAAAGTCCTCGCATAGACATGAAGTCTCACACCATCACAGAAGTAGAATTAAGGGGAAAAAATTTCTGGCCCAGGAGTCACATATTCAGAGAGTAAGCTAAATGTAATTTCCTCAAAAGAAGTAAAAAAAGAATAAGATAGCTCCTTAGATGTGTTGACTGTCTTTAAAGATGGCTTGAAATGTATTCTGTATCAAACACGTTCCACTACACTTGAAGCCATCATTCAGAACAAGTTTAGAAATTCTGGGGTCTTCAAATTTTTTTGAGACAAACACATTGTCAAGTCTTAAAGGATAGTCTTCAGTTTGAGTCAAACACCACAAGATCACTCTGTGAGAAGTTTAGACAGAATCAATTATTACCAACCTTCCCACTTTATAAATGCATAAATTTGAACAGTGATGAAGTAAGACTTGTCTTAGGTTGAAGATGGTATCAGACCAGAACAGATCCCAATAGTTTTCTTACCTTCAGATATCTGCTCTAGACTTCAGACTGTGCTAAACACAGTCTTACGCTGATTCCCCCCAAAAATCTTCAAGCCCCCTCTTAAAAGCTTTTCATAGTAATCCAACTGTTTTCAATACTGCTGTGTCTTCGAGCACAAGACAAATGATAAATTTCCCGATTGCCGTGTGCACACTTACATGAGGAGAGAAAATAGCAGATGGTAAAGAAACATTAATTTTTGCCTTCAGTTCCTCCAAAAGGCCACCACTGGCAGCGAGCACCCCCTGGAATAAAAGTAATGAGTCACTAGTAAATGGAAAGGATGTCCAGAGACCCTATAAACATCAAACAGTGCCCAAGATGGGTCTTTCATGCACTTGTACTTATTTTTTCAGTTGTTTTTTTGTTTGTTTTTTTTTTTTTTTTTTTTTTTTTTTTTTTTTAGTGTTGTTTTTTTTTCATTTTTTTTTTTTTTTTTTTTTTTTTTTTTTTTTTTTTTTTTTTTTTTACAGATGAGGTTGACTGTTCAACATCGTACTCAAAGAAAGTTGAGGGTCTACAGCACTAACCAAACTATATCATGTAATCTCTTCATTTGAGCCTACTATGCTGAGCAGACAGCTATTTCTGTTCCTGGGAAGGAAATACCCAGATACAGATGCTTTAGGACTACCTGAACACATTTTTCTTAAACCGCTTTCCTATCCATTTTGTTATCTGATTCATCTCAACATTAAAATATATAGAATCAGCATTAGGCATTGAGCTGCAAGCAGAGTTAATCCATTTACTGTTGCATTTAACACTCCTGAATCACAACATTTTGCAAAGCGTTATATTTGGCACATACCACAATGGTATTTGATGAGGCACCGTAAAGTTAACCTTAGTATTTAGAACGAGCCAATGCCCACATCAAGTGAAGTCTTGTATAAAACCAAGACAACAGATTCTCCCATTTCACAGTACCATTTCAGTTACCTTTTGGAAGTCAAGTGGTGGCTCTTTCAGGGATAGGGGATGTAGGTGCCCACTTTTTTCCAGCAAACTGCTACTACCCAAAATCATGATGAGGGAACTCCAGCATTTAGGCTGAAACACAGCAGAAGATCTGTTTTAGAAAGTCAAATCCGTTCAGAGGTGTGAACTATTCAGAGAGAAAAGGGTTCTGATAGTAAATCCTTGCATTAGAGAAGCAACTGGACAAAACAGGTAACACAGAAACACTCGATGGGCTGCAGAAACGCAGTTTTAATAGACTCACATTCCTGTATAGTGACACATTGCTGTAAAGGAGTTTGAGCGCCTGCTTAATTAGAACACCATCTTTCAAGGGAGACCCTGCAAGAAGAAAAAATCCAAAGCTTATCTTATATTCCCTGAATAACTATAGGGTGTGAGCACAAACAAGATATTGACATAGTTACAGACATATTTCTACAGAAACCTAACAAAAAGAAACAAATGAGTGTCTACAGCTATTTTATCAATATTTTGTAGGTTCTGTATAGAAAAAAAAAACATCAACTGTAAAATACTATTCTGGAAAGCTGCAGAGAACAGAATACAATTTTGACTAAACCATCACAGAACAAAGTCCTCATTATGTACATCACACCACAGTACAGTGCGATACACGCTGCCAGTGTCTCATATGTCTAAGAATTCTACTTGCAGCTGAACATCTCCAAAATAAATCTTTGATTTCAGAATATACCTTGACAAGTAGTATGCACCAAGACAGGTGATCACAGTTATCAGTGGCTAAATTAATGACAGAATGTAATACATATATTGTGAAACCCTTTCCATCAGGAAGCTTTTACTCTCAAGGTCAAGGCTGAGACATACCATAATGCTAAGTTACACACTGCCATGGGTAATGCCATGATGTAATAGACCGCTTTGTATTTTCTTTTAATAGGTTGCTTTCAGCAAAACAACTTCACAGCTGACAAAACAAGTACACTCCACACAGAATGCTAAACAAATTCAAGCTCAAATATAAAGACATTCTTCCTGCCTAGTGTTATGTACTATGCTTTTGTCCAGTCAATTTATAGTTGGGTTCAGAGCCCCTCAGAACGTTACTGGATTTAATGAAAAAGTAAAAGCCGTAATTAAGGTTCTAAACATATGTAAGCAAGAAATCACACTTGCCAACTGTAATCCAGGGCCCAGAGTCTAGCATATCCTTTCCAGTGGGCACACTGCCTGTTCTGAACATCTTCAGGTAGACCTCAAACTGGAACGGTGTTATCCGGCAGGCAGTACAGCACGCAAGGCTGTTGACAGGAAACAACAGCGAATGTGCAGCATCAAGGAAGTCTCCGGTTTTACACAAATAGAATGGGATTTTATCTCGAAGGTCTCTTAACCTGGAAAGAAGAAAGAAATGAATATTTGATTTTCATTAATATGAAAGTTTTACAATATGTATGTATTGATCTGATTATGCTTGACCACTAGTAAGTTACATCCGATAAGGCAGAAGTTAGTTGCAATGCGGCATTGCTTTCATTTAGCAAACAGCTGCCAAAATCCTACTGCTTTTCATTCTGCCAGTTTATTACACATTAAAAAACACACACACTGGGACACAATCTTAAGGCAAAGACATAACTGGGATTAAAAAAGGAAAAAACCATTTACCCTTTGGTATCGTTGCATTTCACAGCTCTCAGGTAGCGAACAACTTCTTTATAGCTGGAGAGAAAAAAGAGAGAGTAGGAAGAGGAAGGAAGCACAAAGTTATATACAGGTCGATCAAATATTTACTATAATTAAAGCCCTACTGCTTTTCATTCTGCCAGTTTATTACACATTAAAAAACACACACACTGGGACACAATCTTAAGGCAAAGACATAACTGGGATTAAAAAAGGAAAAAACCATTTACCCTTTGGTATCGTTGCATTTCACAGCTCTCAGGTAGCGAACAACTTCTTTATAGCTGGAGAGAAAAAAGAGAGAGTAGGAAGAGGAAGGAAGCACAGTTATATACAGGTCGATCAAATATTTACTACAATTAAAGCAGCAAAACAGTAGATCTTCCCACAGAAGAGCCATTACACCATAGGATAGAAAACACAACTGGTAGAAAGAGATAGTTGGAAATAAGTTCCAAAAAGCTATTCAGATCATCTCTGGCAAAGTAAAACAGGAGGTTGCCTTTCAATTTAAGTCTTTAAGTGGACTGTATTCTTTTGAATGCAGACATCTGAAGACTCAGAGACCAGAACACATCTTTTGCTATCTTTCACCTATTTAGCCTTTGACAACCAGAATTTGTTTTAAACATCTACATCTGAAACCTACTGAGGTTATGGAAACAAAGAAATTATCTACTTTAACATTAGTTTCTGGTCTTGAAGTGTTCAAAGGGCTCAATTCTGCTTTGAAAAACTTCAAAAAGCTACTAGCCTTGTTGATAAGAAGCAATGGGCACAAACAGCTTCAAACATATCTTTGTTTTGTATGTCTCCCCATCACACAAAACTCCTGCAGTATAGTGTTTTCCTAACGTCTTCAGTAAATACCATGCAAAAATGTAAAAGTCAAGTTCGTAAAATGAAAAATCCAAAACAAGATCAAACCAAACCTTACTTCATTTTGTCTACCAATTTCTCCACTCGAGCCTCTATAACAGGGAGCGCTTCCCACAGAAATACTTTTCTTCCTTTCTGTGTTCTTTGACCAGTGATGTTCTGGCCTTTTAAAACAGTGGTCAGTAATACATGGTCCCATGGCACAACATTCAAGCTGGAAGTACAAAAATAAAGTCATTCTTAACCACATTTTGTTTGTGCACTACAATTTATTTCCCTTTAAGTAACGTGAAGATTTACCAATAAAGAATTTTGAGGTTTACAGCTCACTTTGGGGGGGGGGGG